GACACTTGAGTGTCGAATGCGACCCTCGAGACTAACGAGGACCGCACGATTATGGGCACTGCATAGTACGCCATCACTGCGACTGCTTGCGTATGCTTGCATTGCTAGTCGATATGAGTAGGCCCTGCGTCCGCGCGGTTTTATACTAAGTCTCGCGCGTGACGCCCATCCGATTTCTACATCGGAAACGCGTAGGCCCTATCCTGTCGTAGGGGCTCGCAAGAGGTATGGCTGGCGCACTCGGCAGGAGCGGCCTAAGGAAGCTCCGTTTGCGTGTTTGTGACGAGGTCGGTCCAACTCCTGCGTGACACGGCCAAGAGGGTCCCGCACTGCCACGCGCGGTGCCGCGCCGATGCGCTCGACAGGTGGCGCCGTTGCCAGGGATGACGGAAGCCTACCGTTGTCCCTGGTGGAACGACATCCGGGTATGGGAATGAAGGAGAACTAGGCATATAAGTGGATAAAGGAAGGCTATGGGGTGAATTGTGTGATGGTTTGTATGACTGTGGGTATGAATAATTGATTGATTGGCGGCTTGACTGATGACGTGGCTGAGACGCGTAGGTGAGGTGACGTTATGGTGAGGATAGGCCTCATCTAGGTGGGCCTAAAGGAAATAGAGAGAGAAATGTCTGCCAGGTCTAGAGTATTGGGTGTTTAAGGGGCTAACCCAATAGGATTGTGAGGGATTGAACTGCTGAGTGGGGCCTTTCGTCCTATCGTCTCTTATAACAGGAAGATTGAAGCCGGAGGCGGTTGATCAAAATGCCAGAGGAGATGGCGGACGGTGGGAGAAGGGTCGTGACACTTGACGACCTCGTCGACGCCTTGGATAAGTGCGAGAGGGCGCCGAGCAACGTCCCAAAGGTTGAGACATTCCATTTCAAGGGGGAGCGAGTATCTGACTGGTTGGATCTGATAGAGCAGGCGCTGGTAGGACTGTCAGATGAGGTCAAGCTCCAACGGGTCCTAAGGTACGTCCTGCATAGTCATCATCGGGAAGTAAGCAAGGTCGTGGACGCCGCCAATGGCAGTTCGGCAAGGTTTGGAGACCTGATGCGGAGAAAGTACAGGCTGGGGGACGGCCTGTTGACCATGGCCGACTTGGAGGCCATGAACAAGGAAGACTTCTCTACCATTGGGGCGTTCGTGCACGAATTCAAGAAAAAGGCGAGGAAAGTGCACGGGATTTCAGAGGAGGCGCATTGCGCCACATTCCTGGGATTGCTTACGGGCTCGGAGGCCGCAGAATTGACAAAGCATGTGGACGAGAGTGAAAAGTTCACTTGGGCGAATATAGACAAAGGAGTGGAAGATGGGAGCCTGGACCAGGTGGAGTAGCAGCAGATGAGGGTGCAGAGGCGCAAGAGGAAGGAAAAGGATGCTACTGCATCCGGGACCCCTGGGGTGAAGAGGATCGTCACGGACGTATTGGCGGCGCTGGGGTATGACAACGAGGCGGAAATACAGAAAAAAGAGGTGATTGTGGCGCAAGGCCGGGCGTTAGGGGCAGTGGATGAGGAGGCTGGGCAGGAAGACTACGGCGGAGGGGAAACGGGTTCCCAAGCCCTGACTAAGGCCCAGAGAAAGCAGCGCAACCTGCTGCTGGGAGGGCAGGGGTCAGGGAATGGGCAGGCTCCCCAAGCCATTGCCGCACCATCGCCTGTCGCCGAGGCCGCGCCAGCGCCAACAGGACCATCGCACCTGGGGCCGCCACCAGCTTGCGGGCACTGGGTGCCGCATTGTCAGTCCGCCCCCTGGCCCAGTTGTAACCACTGTGTCTCATGTGGAGGGAGTCAAGGCCACACGGGGCACATGGTCCCCTATTCGGGCCCCTCGGCAAGTATGGGCCCCCCGAGCTACCCAGCGACTCAAGGCCAGCTTGTGGCCCAACCGCCGCCCTCCCAACAGGCCTCGCAGGCTAGTGTGGCTGGGGGAGGGAATCAAGGGCAAGGCAGGCAAGGCAATGGGGGCCGGGGCCAAGGGGGTCGAGGAGGGGGTAGCCGGGGGCGAGGAGCAAATGGTGGGGGCCGTGGGGGGGGTTGGAGTGGTCAAGGGGGTCAAAACCAAGGCGGCCAAGGCAGCCAGGAGGGAGGCCAAGGGTACGGGAGGCCCCGCTTCGATTGGCGGAATGCAACTTGTTGGCATTGCGGCGAGGTGGGACACACTATACGGTTCTGCCAACAGCGGCGAGAGGACGAGCTGGCAGGGCCGATCTCCTCATGTATGGACGGGGACATATACGATAGGTGGGGGAAACACATTGATCCCAACACCCCGGGGGGAATAGGCAGGAAGCCCTCAGACGAGCGGCGGCAGGGCCACCAGCAGCCCCAACGATGTTCAGGATATGGCAAGAAAGGGAGGATCCAGGTGTGAGGGTCGAAGAGATTGTGGATGAGAGTGAGGAAGTGACTCAACAACTAAAGGCAGGGACTATAAAGGAGGAGCTTATAGTCGTTGAGTCAGACGATGAGGCGCAGGAGGTGACAAGAGAGTCAGCCTCGACCATCCTCGAAAGGATGGAGGACCTGCTTGTAAAGGTGGGCAGGTACCAGGAATGGTTGAGGGTGATGTGTGAGGAGGCTCGAGAGGGGGAAGCGAACCTCCCGGAGGTGATGCTTTATGGGTCGGGCCCGGAGTCGTCATCAGGTCCACAAGGGTACCCAGGAGTGGCGACGGCGGGGTCAGGTCCCAGGTCTGGAATGACCTTTAGACCCCCTACGTCGCATGGGAGGGTGGCGCAGGCCGCACAGACCAGGAGCCAGAGTAAGGCTACTACGAGTCAGGGACCTAGTCAGGCACCTAACCAAGCACCTCCTCGAAGGGAGCCTGAGCCCAAACGAAGGAAGGAAGTGGTGGAGGTTCAGGAGGAGGAGGATGAGCGTGATGACGAAGAAGATGAGAGGCTCCGCCAGGAAGAGGACCAGCGAGCGGAGCAGAGGGCCAAGAAGAGAGGAATTCGGGGAGAAGCGGAGCCGAGCCTGCACGACGGCGCGCCAAAAAGGAAGAAGTACGCGGTCCGGCTAGAAGAGGGCTTTGACGTGGAGCGAATGGTGGATAAGCTCCTGGAGGGCCAAAATGATTTGATGAATCTTAAAGACATCTTGGCGTCAGCGCCAAGGCTCCGTGGTGAGCTAAAAGGGCGGCTTTCACGAAGATTAGTGCCCAACGTCCACCTGAGCTCAATTCTGCCCAAGGAGATAGAGTGGACAGAGGCGGGCACTAGGATGAATTGGAAGTGTGTGGCATGTGGGTTGGTGGATTTGAAGGTGAGGGACCAGCCGAGCATTGCAATGGTGGACACGGGCGCTGAGATGAACATTATCCGGGAGCGAGATGCGACCATGCTAGGGCTGGAGGTCGACCATTCGGACCATGGTGTGCTGCATGGCGCCAACTGTAAGGCAATTTTCTGCGGCACCGCGTCTAACGTAATGGTGGAGATTGAGAGGGTAAGGGCACGGACGTGCTTCTTCGTCATGCCCGATGTCAACCACCCTATCCTTTTGGGGAGGTCGTTCCTCTACCGAACGGAGACCTTGGTCTTCAACAGRCATGAGGGGACGATGATCCTGGCCTTATCTGATCCGGCCTGCGGGAACTATGAGATCATCAAGTGTCGGAACACAGGACCCGGAAGTGGGAGGAACAGGCTTAATCTCGGCTCCTTTACCTTCGAAGACTCTGAGTACGCGCGACGAAGACTCCGGGAGGAACAAGAGGAGGAAGGATCGGCCGAAGTATTGTCCTTGAGCCTTAACGATGTGAATAAGGCAATGGAGGTGGTGGCGGCACATGATATGGCGGACCCCGAGGCCATAAAGGCATTAAGAGAGCAGGTCCTGGAGAGCCCTCAGGTGGGAGAGGTGGAGCTGATCTATCGACTTCCAGGAAGGAAGGGGGACCCGGCGATGGCCCAAACCCGGACGACAAGTTGGCCTTTTTTAGGGGAGGGCTTAAGCAGGGCTCCCAAAGGCGGTACAAGACCATAGATAAGAAGTGTCGCCCAGTCCCCATACTTGTTACTGAGGACGAGGAGGCTTACTATGAGCGGGGGCAGGGACTAATTAGACGAATGAGGGAGCAGGCACAGACTGGGCCGTGTCGCATTAATGAGGAGAATGAAGGGGGGCTGATAATTAGCGAGCCCGGCTTCCTTTCGCCCCAGGAGAAGGCCCTGATGGTGGGGACCATGAAGAGGAGGCATCGCGCGTATGGGTTTAGTGATGACGAGCGTGGGAGGCTGGATGTGGATAAGATCCCGATGATACGAATCCATACTGTCCCACACGAGCCGTGGAATTTAAGGGGCGCGCGATACTCGAATCCAGATGAGGAGAAGAAGGTGGTGGACTACCTGGACAGGAAGATGCGAACGCACATGGCTGATTACTCCAATGGACCGTATGCCTCACCTTGGTTTTGTTTCATCAAGCCGAACGGGACGCTACGGTGGGTACAGGACCTGCAGCGTTTGAATGCGGTGACGGTGCGAGACGCGGGAGGATTGTCGAACACGGATGCCCTGTCAGAGTCATGCGCTGGGAGGCCTATAATCTCACTTATAGATCTTTATTCTGGGTATGACCAGTTTCCTGTATACCCGCTAGATAGGCCAGTGACGGCAATGCATACGCCAAGGGGGCTGATCCACATGAATGTAGCCCCTCAGGGGTGGACTAATGCGGTGGCGATGGTGCAAAGGCATATGATTAGTGCCATGTAGACGGTTAGTCCACATATCACTCAGCCCTGCATTGATGATTTGGCGGTCAAGGCTCCAAAGGAGAAGGAGGAAGACGAAGTGATGCCAGGAGTAAGGCGGTTCGTCTGGAGGCATATCCAGGATATCGATCAAGTACTGGGTCTGCTGGAAGAGCACAATTTGATGGCGAGCGCCCCCAAGTCGAAGCACTGTATGAGGGAGGCCAAGATTCTGGGCTTTGTCTGTAATGAGAAGGGGCGGAGGCTAGATGTGAAGAAAACGGACAAGATCCTAGAGTGGCCAGTCCCCTTTCAGTCGATAACGACGTGAGGAGCTTCCTTGGGACATGTGGGTTTTGGAGGAGTTTTGTGAAGGACTTCGCTACCAAGACGGAGCATTTGAGGAAGCTGGTGCGTCAGGATCAGAAATGGGTCTGGGGCGAAGACCAGGAAAAGGCTGTGGAAAGGATGAAGGGAGAGTTCAAGGAGGGAGGTTTGGTGCTGGGAGCGCCAAATTATGAGGCTACGGAGGAAAAGTCATTCGTTGTCGAGACGGACGCTGGGCCAACTGCCTTAGGAGGGGTCCTGATTCAAACAGATGCGGATAGGAAGGAGAGGCCACTAAGGTTTGAAAGCCGTACCCTCAATACGACTGAGAGGAACTACTCGCAATTTAAGAAGGAGACGTTGGCGGTACTCCATTGCCTGAGGACCTTCCAGAACTATATTTTTGGCAAGAGGCTCGTTTTGAGGGTGGACCCTACTGCGCTTGCATGTTCCCTGAAAAGTTATACTCCATCTGACCCAACCATCGCGAAGTGGTTGACTTACATTTGGATGTTTAACTTTGAGCTAGAGAGGATTCCATGGGACAAGAACAGGGCAGATGGGCTGAGCTGTATCAACTGGGACGGGGCGAATCAGGAGTCCATTGAGGACACCCCACCAATCGACGGGTTCTTGGATCAGGAAGAGGATGTCCGCCTCCACATAAATGAATGGTCGTTGAGGGTGCCTAGCTACGTCACGCACCCCATATGGCTAGCGCCAAGGGGGTACGAATGGAAGGAGGAGTTGGTCCTCAAGCCCTTCCAGGAGGAAGATCCGTGGGGGAATAGGGATGTTGGCTGGATGATGAAGTTGGCATTGGCAGGTACACATAGTCTGACAGAAGAAGTAAGGACGATAGAGGAAGGCTCAACCCAGGTAGAGGAGCATGAGCAATTAATGAGAGGGATGTATTTGCTCACTAATACGCTCCTGCAGGGAAACTTTAACCAGAGGGACTCATTTGGTCCTGAGGAAAGTGAACTTTTTATTCCTGAAAGCCAGGACGATGAGTTCGAAGAGGGAGAGATCAGGGAGGCCTTCCGTGCAGAAGAGTATGACGGGATCTATCGGGAGGTGGGGTTACTCCTGTCATGCAAAATGAGGGATAGGGACGCAAGTGCTAAAGCCCAGAAGATGAGGTATCTCTACGTAGTAAGAGATGACCATCTGTTTATAAAGCGACAGGTCGGGAACCCCAAGAGGATCGTATGTGGGAGGAACCGGCAGATCGATGTCATAGCAGCCCTACACGATGGTATAGCAGGGGGGCACAGAGGGGTTAGTGCCACGTGCGCAAAGATAAGCGAGTTATACCATTGGGATGAAATGCTGACTATGGTCATCAAATACTGCCAGTCCTGTGTACCTTGCCAGCAGAGGTCAGCGCAAAGGCCTGGGGAGCCTCTGCACCCCAGGTTGGAAAGGGAAGTGGGTGCAGTCGTGCACCTCGACCTGTTGTTTATGCCACTCAGGGAAGATGGAAGTAACTATATCTTCCACGCACGGGACAACCTTACCAGGTTCGTGGACGGTCGGGCTATTCGCACAAAAACTGGCCCAGTTTTAGCAAGATGCATCGAAGAGTACTACCTGCGTTATCCGTTTGTCAGAGAGTTTGTGATGGACCGGGGTCGGAGTTCACTTGTAACGAGGTGTGGACCTTGCTTGCGGGGTATGGCGTGGTAACAAACTATACTACTGCCGCGCACCCCCAGGCGAACGCACCTGTGGAGAGGGGGCATAGTACCATCATAAATCTCTTGGCCAAGTGGACTGAGGGGAGGCCTAACCAGTGGCCGAAGTTCCTGAGGGCAGCTTTCTTCGTGGAAAATGTTACAGTGAAAAAGACTACCAAGTATGCGCCAACCACACTATGGTACGGAAGGCATGCCACCTTTCCCATAGAGAGTTTCATGAAGACGTGGAGGTGCCAGGACCTGGAAGTGAACCTGTGTTTTGAAGAACTGCTCGATATTCGGGCGCAGCAGGTGGGAGCTGCTGAGGAAAGGTTGCGAGAAGTTGCTGGTCAGGTAGACAGAAGCCGCATGTAAGACAAGATGAGATGGGACCAGATGGTCCGGGTAAGAAAGGATCCGCTGAAGGTTGGAGATGCGGTACTGTTGTCTGACTCCTCGCTGGAAAAACAATGGTCTAGGAAACTCGACATTAAGGGACCATGAGACCGCGTTAGGAGTATAATCTTGCTCGGGAATTACCCATGTCAGGTGATTAGATAGTTGGGTGATCGGGATAGACGGGTGTGGAGTGTATGTGGGATTTTCCTAGGCCAATAGGCTTAGTTGCTGACCCTACTGTGCGTCTGTTTGTTGTCTCTCGCCTGTTGTGCAGGTCTGACTTCTTGAAGGCAGTCATGCAGATTGGCGGGAGGGATGCACGGCCACGGCAGGGGCCCTAGAGGGCGGCGGGGAGAGGCGAGCAGCATGAGCCGCCGAGGAGTGGGCCTACGCCAGAGTTCGATGACGACAACATAGAGCTCTTCCTAGACATATATCAGGATCATGCGGCGCAGAGAGGGTGGTCAGTGGCGGAGAGGATTCACCACTTGAGGGGTATAGGGCGGTTTGAGGGACCTGTCGCTCAGATATATGAGGAGGCCCTGACTTGGCCAGATGTGGAGGCCGGAATGCAGAGATTGAGAGCTTCCCCTAGAGGACGTGATGGCATGCCCATTCGATTGGAGGAGGGGAACACGGAGGAGTTTATTCCCGCGTACGATCATTATATGCTGAGTCAGGGGATTGCGCAGGAGGAGTGGGTGCAGGCCCTACTTATTTGGACTAGGGGGGCAGAGAGGCCGGTGGCCAGACAGATCCGGGAGAGAGCTCGAGATTGGGAGGACTGTCAGGCCCAGCTCAGGAGGGCGTTCGGATGGCCAGAACGCGAGAGGCCCGAGCCCAGGGTCGAGAGGCGGAGGCGAAGCAAGAGGCCAAGGGACCCGGCACCGGGAGAGGTGGGACTGGCCAGAGAGACGAGGAGGGCCCCAGCACAGCGGGAGGATGAGCCCGCAGGGCCCTCATCGACAGAAGAGTCGTTCCCTGCTTGTGGCCTCCGGACAGTTGAGTTTCGGCGGATTACGAGCGAGGAGCTGAGGCCGCCTTCACCGTCGCCATCAGGGTAGGAGCTGGACATACCAGGGGAGACACCATTATGGAGTCTAGCGACTCACCTTGATGTGTTTCGATGGGAGGCCTCACGGTTGGGGGAGGGCTCAGCTGAGCCGGTGCGCTATGTACCGTTAGAGGAGCCTCTGGACCTCGAGACGGAGACGGACACACGAGACCGAGGGGGGATGCAAGACCCTGGGATGGCAGCCGAGCGGCCAGACCCAGTACGACCTCACATTGAAGAGGTGATCACGGTCGGAGACGATACCCCTCCATGCACCCCAGTTCCAGAGCCAGCACAGCAGTCCTGGCCAGAGGGGATTCCTGAGCCAGGCAACGAGGAGATTCCAGAGTTTCCCCAAGAGACCACTGTTGTGCCTGAGCAGGAGACGGAAATGGAGGATCAGGGGGTGCGTGAGAGAGCAAGGGTGGAGGTACTCCCTGACTTGCCATTGCCCACGCATGCGACCGAGAGCCCAGTTATCGGGGGGCCTGCTCTAGCGGAATCATTGCCAACATTGTCGTGCACGAGCGAGAGGGTGGGTGCCGAAGCATCGACCCCGGAAGGCCAGGGGCCGCAAGGGAGGGGAGCCTCAAGAGAAACCCGCGAGGAGAAGTCCGCCAGAGTGCGAGTCCGTCTCAATGAGATACACGCGAGGCAGGCTGAGATGGAGGCGACAGGGATAGAGCCGACACCGCCGGTCGATCCCAAAATGAGCGAGCAGCGGATCGACGAGTTGTGGGGGAGGTACGAGAGCCAGAGGGATGCGGCCCGCCAGAGGTCACGAAAGACTGGACAGGCGGACGTGGAGGCGGGTGAGCTGAGGGAGATGGGGGACTTGGGGTTCTCTGCGACTAGGATGGCGATTGAGCGTGCGGACAGGAAGATATGCGAGACAGCAGTTACATCCTTCCATTGGTATAGTCTACTCAGCGGTGAGCTCAGGGTCAGAGAGTTGGAGGTGGAGCACCTGACTACTCAGCTTGCCGAGGAGAGGGCGAGGAGCCAGGCCAGAGAGGTTGAGTGGGAGAGGAGATTTGGGGAGATAGCGGCCGCTGTGGATAGGCTCTCGGGAGCCTGGGAGGCTAGCCAGGTGGGACGAGCCGGTGTCGATGGCCAGGGCCGAGGGATGTAGGCTTCGCCGAGTCGGGGAGCAACGATGGAGGCCCCTCGACAGGTCGGGTCAATGGGGAAGGTGCCTCTGGATTCGGCCGAGGAGGAGGGTGACGTTCAGGAGTCGCTTATGGCTATGTCCACGGAGAGGAGAGGCTCGCGTTTGCATGAGCTGGCGGCAGCCATGGGGATAGGTACACCACAGGAGAGGCCTCAGAGGCTTGACACCCCAGGCTACACCTCAGGGCTGGGAGGGTTGAGGGCGGAGCTGGGCTCCTGGGCCACGGAGACGGACTCAGGAGGACCTGACTCAGGGACGCAGCAGCAGCAGGAGGTCGTGAGTGAACCGGCCGCCGTGGCGGGGTGTCAGCCGTCAGGATCATGTGGGAATGTGGCGGCGATGGAGAGGCCTCACGAGGAGAGACCCCGAGAGTTGGGCACGCCAGGCCACGAACCAGTGAGCACTGCCGTGCGAGGGGGTGAGGACGCTGAGGCTATGGAGTTCAAACCTCGGGGCCATATGGGGGTGCCATCGTGTCATGAGGTGACCACCGAGACCATAGGGACGCCTTCAACATCGAGTTCCCGGGGGGAGAAAGAAGAAGACGGTCAGGTGGCACAACACCTCCTGCTTTTGGTGCAAGAGGGAAGGGCATAGAGTCGTGGACTGCCCAGAGCTCCTCGAGGATAAGGCCGAGGGGCGGGTTGCAAAGGTCGACGGCAAGTTCTATGACAGACAGGGTAGGATAGTGGAGCGAGCTCCAGATGGGGGCAGGGCTCAGTTATACAGTCAGAACCAGGAGGAGTTGTGTGAGTAGGGGCTTGTCTGTCTATGTGTCAGTAGGACCAAAGTATTTTGCACCTAGAAGGAGGGGTTGGAGATGTACATATGCGGAGTTGGCTGAGGGGGCTCTAGATGTGTGCATACTATAGGGGTGGTAGGATGAGTCCCTACCTGCTTATACATACACAGTTGATCGTGTTTTCCCTGAGCTTTTCTTTCATGGGCTACGGCTTAGGACATGAGGGTCGTTCGTACGACGCATGGGACATTTTAGTCCGTTCTTGGTTTCGCGGGGCAGAGACTATTTGAGCTTGAGAGAGACTTGGGTATGAGTTTGCCTTAGTTGGGTGAGATAGGGGGATGGGCACCCATTAGATTTTAGGTAGATGTTGTGTCCCCAAGTGGGTTCCGCGAGTGTACAGTGGGGTCGTGAGCCATCCTCAGATGGACAGAGTTTGAGTTAAATGCTTGTGTTTGAGTCTTGAGGGAGGCATTCTACTCCCTGAGTGTATTATGAGTTGAGATCCTATGGGACTTGTCTTGTGACGACCACTATCACTCTCACATGTGTGGCTTTATCCTGATGTATGATTGGCTTTGTGTGAGAGGAGTACAGGATACATCTCATGGGCATGATTGTGTAAACTGTAAAGCTGTCTACCCTCCGGTATACTCGTGCGGTCTGCTTGCAGGTGGACGAGAGGGCAGAGTATAAGGAGGGGGAGTGCAGCCTGTTTGTGAAAAACTGTGAGAATCCTACGGGATTGGTGGATTCAGAAATCTGCATGCTTGGTCATACCAAACGTCGTTGTCTAAGTTGCACAAGGACCCAGAAGATGGTCCCTCAGTTTGAGCTGTTTGGTGATTAAGACCCTCTTCATGGTTCTGGAGGGTGGGAGTTGTGTTATTGTTGGGGCCCCTTCATGATTTTGGAAGAGGCCGCGCAAAAATTCATCCCAAACAAAGAGAGGAGGGGTGAACACGAGATCTTTTGTGAGAGGCACCCTTTATTAAGTAAGGGTGGGTAAAAAATGATTAGTATGGAGAGCATTGTTTGTGTTGATAAAGCCTGACGGGAGGGGACTATGTTTGCTTGAACTATTTGAAAAGGGCGAGAGATGCCTCAGGATGAGCGACTCCTGGCTCTGATCAAGTCAGGAGTCGCGGCCTTGTGGATCCGGCGGGGAGGTTGTTTGTAATTGAGCGAAGGATGTCGTGCCTATTATAGGAGGGCCAGGGAAATGCCTTCAGGCCCTTGCGTAGTCCCGCAGCGGCCTGTGAATTGTTTGTGATACACCGCCTGGCCGCCTGTGCTAATTCTGAGACATATTTAAAGGAATACCAAGCTAGCGGTAAAGCTTAGTGCCACCTGGGCGCAACCCCTAGTGGATGGCTGCTAGCCGGCACAACCTGGCTGCGGGCCCGCGAGGTAAGAGTTTAAGGGGAGTTGCCCGCCCCAGAGAAATTACTCTGTGGAAGAGGAGTCGAGTCTTGTGGAAAGTCCTTATTGACTGATTATCAGGAAAAACACCTATCGTTGTATAACCAACGAGAGGATACCGCCGCTAAGGTAACAACGCGGTGGGCCGTAGACCTGGCCCGATCAACCAGGCTACGGTGGGCCCAGATGGGGACCTGGCATTTCTGTACTAGACAACAGAAAAGGCCGAGAGAGGCTACAAGCTTATACGTGTGTATTTTGTTTGATTGTGAGGAATTTTGCTGGAAGAAGGCAAAGAATGCCTTCATAGGTCCCATTTGAATCCCGCGTCTCTAGTTATGACTCTGCTTACGAGAAAGAGGCTAATTGGGACACCCAACGAGAGGCCGACGTTTGTCAAGGGTAATAGGGAAGAGGATGGTTTGAGGGACTTTGGAACTTATGCTGTAGTATCGATGCATAATACACCAGCGTCCTGGTGTCAGGACAATGGGGACCCAGGTTGAAACCCTGGCAGCATATAGTTGTATTGGCATGGTTTAATGGAGGTCTCAACCCTGAGTCTGTCGGCTAATCGGATTGGTTCTAATCTCGTCAGCATTTGGAGTGTGAAGGAATCTATAGCTTTTTGATTTGGCGACGTGACGGGGACGTCGCTTAATATGGTCCGGTAAGCTGTCTGCGCGAATACCCTTACAAGGGTATCCGCCCTGGTTTTTTGCAAGTGACAGGAAGGCTCGGTCAACATGGATTTTGAGTGTCCATGCTGGAAATGTGAGGGTCGTCTGCACGCGAGCAAAGGTCTGCCTTGTCCCGGTAGGGAGTATGTGGGCGCGCAATTTTAAGGTGCGCGTGTGATTTTTTCGATTGAGTGGGCGGCCGGGGTAGCTGACCGACCCGGACCGGGTTACGGGTTTGGCTAGGGGGTGAAAGTTTGTTTTGGTCGGCGCGCGCGGCCGGCGGTAGGACTAGCGCGCCGATAGGCGTATGGGACGGCCGCGGCGCAGGGTGATAGGCCGGCGCAAAAAAAGGCGGAGAGATCAGGTGGCCTGGAGATTGCCGCGGGGCACCGCCCCGGTCGAAGTCCTCCGGGACATCTGTTGAAAGCGGAACAATACCGGGAAGATTACCATGGCCCCTACGCAAGGAGGACACGCATAAAGCGAGTGGAGTGGGTTTTTGGGTTTTGATTTTTTTTCTCGTTCGGCTTTTCTAGGTCGGAACCTCGCGCGGCCAGTTAGTGTGCGTAAGGAGTGTTAGAGTGTTGAGGAGAGCGAGGGTGGGGAACACCCACCTGGCGACGTGGAAGGGAACGAGCGGGACGACGGAGCGGGCTAAAGGCGGGGAGAAAATAGCAAGGGGGGAGATGAACCTGGACGCGGGTGGCGCCAGGTGCGTGTAACGAAAGGGGGAGAGGATGGGCATGGCGTAGGGGGGGGGGAACACGGAGCGCGCTCGTCCGTGAGCGGTTTCGAGTAAGGGAAGAGTCGTTTCTGGGGTCTTGACCCCGGGCGAATCCAACCGTGAAGTCGGATTTGGCAAAGAGAGGGTGGGGTGGAAACTGGAAGAGGAATAGAGATGAGCGAGGATATGGTGGAGATGGAAAAAACCGAGCCTCACTCGATTTGCGATAGAATCAGGTGGAGAGAGAGGGGGTTCGGGGGTTTGTAGACAAGGCGAAGCTGGATTCGACGTTAGCTCCAACGGCAAGTTAGTAGGTTAGTTGGGATAGAGAAGAAGAGGTGCGCGGTGTGCTGTAGAAGGAAGCTGGGTAGGAGTGAGGTGGGCACGCACCTGGTCGCCTTTCGGTGAGAGGGTCATTCGACTTTTGCTCACTTATCGAGCGGGAGCAGCACGGAGGAACGGGGCGGATGTAACTCCCGGGGCTACAGTGCCAGATTCGTTCGGCCTAGCTCACCCGGTGGCGGGGGTAACGGCAAGCCAGGGAGGCGACCTTCAGATTTGGGGAGTGTGCCTAACCGCAGCCCGGTGGAGGATTCGTTCGGGGCTACTTATTACTATAGAAGAAGGTGGGGCCGATTCTTCTCGGCTTTGACCAAGGACTGGGTTGTGGGAGACAGCCGGGTACAGCCGCAGAGAGAGAGACGGGTGACTGTCGCACCCTACCGACGGAGCCGATACTAGAGGGAGGACAGGTTGCAGACAAAGGAGTATACCCGGCTAATCTCCGGTGACTGTGTGCCGTCTCATCGCCCAGTTGGGCGAGCATCGACGATTTGAGTCAGCATCCGCGACCTTTCTTAAGCGAAGGATCCGTTCGGGCTTGCGGCCTTCGATCGAGTGAGTGCGGGCTATGGATTCAAGGAGTGGCTGGCCAGCCAGGCGCCCGCTCGACAAAGCGTCGGTAGAGGGAGCGAGGGACGTGTGACTTGATGTGCCCAGCTGCGGCTTTTTGTTTGGACTGTCTCACGCAGTGGCTAAGCTGTTGATGTCACGTCGGGCGAGAGGAGACAACAATCGTGCCGTTGTGTACGACCGCTGGGGCCTACGCTGTTTGACGCTGGGGTTGCTGCAGTACCTCTTGCTGGAAGTGCGCAGAGGCTGAGCACACTGGTGCATTGGTAGCTACTGTGGCTGTCGTTGCCTTTGGGCTTCGCATGATATTGCAAACAGAGCTGGGTTCTTCTGTTGGGTGCCGCCACTGGATACGGCTGCTATATTCAGGTATGAGTAGACTGCTCTAGCCAGTGAAGGGCGGTCGCTTCCAGACTGCGTAGCGGCAGGCCGGCCAGCAGCGAGTAGCGTGCCGGACTCGGGACCGCGAAGGGGTGACTAGGATTGTGTATCGAGACAAAGGGGGGGAGGGGCTATTGTTGCGAATCTGGAGGTTCTTCAGGAAGGGCAGCGTTAGTAATTTGGCTTTGGGGTGACCGACGACTGCGCGCTTGACCACCATTGCAGGGCCCTCAGGCGCACGAAGGGCGGAAGGCCCTCTCAAGCGAGTCTGGGTGCATCCCTCCTTGGACCTAAAAGCCTCAAATCTTCCCTTTCTGACCTTCTCCCTCCAAAGGTCTAGTCTATTTGATTCCGAGAGGAAGGCGGCAGGCGGGTTTGTAGCCCGTGGTCCGCACGAAGGCCTTGTGGGAGGTTTCCCCACCGATTGCGGGAGCCCTACCGGGACTCAGGCGGAGTCCTGGAGGCGGGGAACTGAGTGGTAATCCCTTGACTCCCTCTATAAACCCAACTATAGCCCCTACCTTTACATCTCTCTATGGTTTGACTGAGTGTACTGTGGGACTCATGTATCTGATCTTGGGTTGACTTTCAGGACATGGGTCAGACTGAAATAAAGGAATGAGTGTGCGATATTCAGTTTCAGACTTTGTTTGGCTGCCTGAAAACAGATTGTGAACAAAGAGGATTGCATCTGGGGGGGAGGTCGGGAGGAAGGCAGTATTGTGTGCGGGCTGATTGGGTCGTCAAGGCTGGGAGGTCCCCGTAAGTTTGGGGAAGCCCAGCACTTTGTTTATTTTTAGATTGCATGGAGCCTC